ATTCCTTAGGATAAATGTCACTTTCCTGAAATGCACAGTAGTTACTACATTATTTTTATAGGCAAGACAGGTATAAAGAGTTGGAAACAAATTCTGCCCTGTCTCCTCTGTCTTTCTCTGCCTCCAAATCTTTCCATTCACCTATATTGAGGTGTTCTGTTTCCATTTAGGCTTCCTCCAAAAAAGGCTTAGATTTACAAAAAGTGATCCAGTGTGTCCTTTTAGTGGTATTTAAGGTCATATCAGAACAGTTTAAGATTCAATTTTCCGTGACTGTTCTGGAAAACCTAGCCACTGGTTTAGATATTCAAATGGGAGCTGACCCAGTCATAGAGTATTTCTAGCAAGGTGTTATTAAACATGACCTCCTTCTCAAAACAATGCATCCTTCCAGTGCCAGGTGCCTGGATACATTAGCTGGTATCTGAAGAAAATGACTGGGCAGAACCTCATTTATAAGTTTATTTAAGAGCTACTCAGGTATTCTGACATGAAATTTCCTTATTTGCTTCCAGTGAAATACTGTTTCTTTTGTCAGTTTTGCTTTTATTTTTTTGCAAAAGGACCACCTACAGCCTTAACAGACTCTGAGATAATGATACTTTAACGAATAGGACACAGAGGACCTTTGTGCAAATATCTGTGGTTTTTTCCCTATATGATGTTCATTACTCCATTGCCAGTTATGTTCATGGACATTCTAAGTCAGCTAAACACATCTAGTACTTTCTATTCTAAACCCCCAGTTTTAGAAGTTTTGCAGTTTTTACAGCTTAAGTGCCAGCATCTAGGCCAAAAGAGTTTTAGTGAAACCTCTGACAGTTTTACCCTCAAATGGGAGCCATCCCATTCAAATTTTGGCAAGAGACAAAGACAGTGAGCCCACAGGAAAGCTCATGAGGCTATCCATCACTTTGTATTTGGAGTAAGGCTAATGTGGCACTCAAGAGATGATACTTAAGGACACACTCTGACCAAAGAAAGTAAATAGGAATTTTTAAATAGAACTTCCCATTCATCGAAAATTGTACACCCTGCCTAGGGGATGAAGTAGTGTGCCTTGAATAAAAATAGTGACAGTCACATCCCTAGATTGCAATCAAAAAGTGACTGAGCAGAACCTGTGCCCTGGCCTGCTCAGTATTTAATAATAGGCTTGAGTAACCTTAATAAGGGTCTTTGGAAAAGAGGGTAGGAGGGATAATCACTTCTTGAAGGTAATAAAATAAGAGTCCATCAAAGCTGTTAGTCTACTCTCCCTTTGAATGAAAAAGTAGTTAGGTTACTCCAAGTTTAACTTAATTGGTAAGCCTTTAGATCCTGTATTTCTGATCCACCAGAAATGGAAATTATTCCAGGTGGGCTAAGACATATCAGTGAGTACTGTATACCAGTAGCTTCCAGCTGTGCTTTAAAGTTGGTGTAGGGGAATATCTGCTAGTGGGAATAAACAATAGGCTGCAATCAAGCTGTCAGCTGCTTAGGGGGACAGGAATCAAACAAGAAAGCAATGATCGGGCTTGCAGGTCATGAGGATGTGTTCAGCAGAAGTCCCTGAGAAGAGTGTTTTAGCACCCTAGACTTCACTAATTCTGCAGGAACACTGCACCCTCCAGACACTGCTGTAACCATCTCAAATATGAACTCTCTCCTTATTCTTCCCCATCTTTCCGTCTACAGAAAGATTAACCCAGTGGGAATAAGCATACCACAGAGAGGCTTTCAACTTCAATCAAGCCCTGGTACCCTATGGCAGTGAAATGAAATAATACAAATTCTCCTCAGATAGTCTGCCCTATTGTGTTGCTGCTATTGCTGTTATTATTACTATTTCTATCTTTGCCATTGTCAGTTTTTTTTTACTTTTATGAGTCATTAATACCACTTATTTTGTGCTATTTAATGTATGTTCAGACCAAATTCCTAAATTTCTTATGCCCTCTGGGGGAATTTATTGGCAAATAGTGTTTCAACACATTGCTATATCCTATGCCACTACTTTAGGCATAATGAAATAGTTGTCTTATACCGGTACATGACTGGAACTCTCACTGTACTCACTCGGCTTTAAATAACTTTTTTGCAACATCCACGTTCTGCCTGCTTTTTCACTATTTCAAACTACCAGGATGCCTTCCAAACCCAGCCCCATTCAGGCAACTGCTTGCATAAACAGGAGGCCAAAAAACAGATCAAACCCTAGTCTCATTTACTTCTATACTGAATGTGATCCCTTCTCCATAAGAGCTGTGGTTATGCCTCAGTCCTGAACCTCAAGAACTTTTGGGTCAGATATATTGCCAATATGTAGTTGTCTAATCCCCGACACGCAGTTTTGAAATATCTTAGGCATGGTTCTCTGAGGTGTTTTGATTTAGTGCAATGAGGATAAGAAACTGAAGAAGAAAGAATTATCCTGGGGGGAAAAAGATATGTCTTGTACATATGCCATTTTCAGAGCTTGAGATATGGTGGTTAAGTGTAAATACAGCATAAATGCTTCTTCTCTAAACCCCTTAGTTATTCCTCAGTGGGAAGCAGGGAGAGACATGCACATTTTTTTCCAAAATGCCTAGTCCCACAGTAAATCAAGTAGTTATAAATGACAATAAACTGAATATTGGAGCTTTTGGTAGTTATTGAGACTTTCAGTTTGATTTACTTCTTGTAGACTCAAGTGTGTGACTGAAATACTTTTCCTCTCTTTGAAGCTGCTACTTAGCTACCCACAGGTAACAAATGGCATTCAGCAATAGAAATATAATGTTCTCTTGTAACTGATGGTCTTAGTCATTTTCACATGAGCACAGATTTATGTTCTGAAGAAGTTAGAATTTGATTTTTGAAAGCAGCACAGGTACTTCTGCATTCATTTTGCACACAATTTGGATGCACAGTTATATTGACAAATGGGTATCTTCTGTGATCACACGGTTATAACGTGTAAGGACCAATATCCACCTTGTAATCTTAACAGTAAAATGGCTGGAAGAATGTAAAACAAACAGCCAGCAGAAAGGACTTTGAGACAGCCTGGCTTTCCCCAGCTGAATCTTAGAAGTAACTGGCTACAGCACTTAAGACTTATGCCAGTACAGACCTGTGTGAGAGGAGAATTAGACCCAGTGTAAGCACTGACATGTTGTATAGGCAAAGTATGATGTCATTTTCTTTTTTCATTTCATCCTAATAATAAGAAATTGTGGAGGAAGTCCTGTTTTCTCAGTGTCAGTTGTTGATCACCAGGAAGGGTGATTCAGCATTTCATCATCAGTAACACATACACCAAACCGCAGCAGTCAATATTGGCTTGAGCATGTAATTGAAAAGAAACTATAACTGAAAAAATCCTCACAGCACACTAATCCAAATGCAACCATGCAGGAAAAAGAAACCAACCAAACAGGAATGTGTTCTTCTAGTAAATCTTGTGTTTGCTAGGGAAAAAAAGACCCCAGAAATGAGGCTAGATGTCTGCACATCAAAGAGGGAGCTGTAATGGGCCAGGCAGGCAACAAGGTAGGAGCAGGCACTGACCCCACTCTGTGGAAATCCTTGGGGCACACCCCACACTCAATCCCATTCATTCTCCATCTCTCCAGCAGTCTCAATAGGAAGGCAGGGAAGGTGCTGGTTCCTCATCCTACAAGCAGCACACAGGTGAAACATCTGAACCTAGCTCACTGCAACCACCCACAGCTACTTCAGCCTGCTTTATCTGGCTTGAAAGTGGCCATTTCAGGCACTTCTTCCCCTGAAAGTGGTCCTCTCAAGGCTTGGCTTTTGGCACCAACTTGATGAGCCCTTTTCTGAAGGGCTTCTTTCAGACATAGTGTTTCACTGAATGAAGTTGGCAACGTATACATCACATTGACTACTCAAATAACCAAGAGCTACATGAGTACTTTCAGATGTAGGATCCTTCTGACTAATATTCCTGTCATGTCTGAGTAATGAGGGCTGGTTAAAATGTCAAGAGGTTTTTTAGGGTTTTTTACTACCTCGTTTCTTACTCACTCAACGGTAGATGATAACTATGTTGTTTACTCATACCATTTATACAGTCCTGTGGGGATAAAAGAGTTGCTGCAGCATCACTACTTCTGCATAGTTTAGGAATTATTATGGTTGTATGAATAAGAGTGACTGTTCCTCCCTGGAAGCAAAAAAGACTTGGGTCTGTCATTTAAGAGTAGGTCCACACTGACGATAATGCAGAGCTACGGTTGCCCAAGTGGGAGAAGTCTGCTTCTCTAAGGTAAAATTTCTCCTGGAGCTCCCCTACTTGTCACACAGAACTTTTCCACTGCCAGTGAAGGGAGAGCAAGGTCAGACCCATGGCATCCTCACGGCATCCTCACTGCCCCACTCAGGGACAAGCAAGGAGCACTTCCTGCACACTCTGAGTACTGGCCCAGGGAGGTGGGAGCCGCAGTCCCTGGGCACATGGGTGGGCAATGGCAAGGCTTAGCCCTCTCACACATCCCTGGAGCTACCTCTCACACACAAAAAGTGGCAAGGTAGATGGCTTAGCCCTCTCACACACCCCTGGAGCTACCTCTCACACACAAAACCTGGGCCTCAACTGTTGGTCTGGCTCTCCAGGGCAGCTCCAGAGCCTGGGTGTTCCTTCAGTGGCTCCCTCAGCCATGTACAGCTCTCATGCCAACACCTTTCAAAATAGCAAAGGGATTTTGCTTGATGTTCATGAGGCAGAGATATCTCTGATAAGACCATCATATAGCAGAGCATGATCCTATATATATATATATTTATAAAGGCAGCAGTAGCCTAGGAAAGAGCCTGGGGGAGAAATGCCTAAAATGGAGAGTCTGTAAAGAAAATGCATATATAAATGTGTGTTTGAAAGAGTAGGTAAGGCAAGGAATGCTGTCAATATTTGCTCTACTGCAACTGACTATCAGTTCTTTCAGGTCACTCGTTAAATGCATGGAAACTATTGATTTTGTCTGATTAAATCATTTCCATGCATTTCACAGGGACAAATGCTAAGCACGGACTACGCTGTAAGGCTTGTAAGATGAGCATTCACCACAAGTGTGCAGACAGTATCGGACAACAGCGTTGCATGGGCAAGCTGGTAAGTGAGCAGCTCAAGGCAGCAAGCAGAGTGGGAGGCACCAGCTTGTGCTGGAGCCACTTTCTTTGTGTGCCTGACCCCCAGCTGTCATTTAGCTGGTGCATTAGCAGAACTGACACCAGATCACTTTACTGAGGCAGGAGAAGTAAAGTCAGGTGATGCCCTGTTACCCATTATCAATTTGGGCACTTGCTAGTACTCAGGAACCTGAACAAAAACAAAACATGAATCTGGTGTGCTTTGTGGATGTGAAAATACAGAAACCAAATTTAGTTAAAAAACAGGATTAAGTCCCTTGACTTAAACTGTGCTTACTGTAGTGTAAGTCTCTCAAGGAATGCTATAAATTAATCACTAAAAAACAGGATTAAGTTCCTTGTCTTAAACTGTGCTTACTGTAGTGTAAATCTCTCAAGGAATGCTATAAATTAATCAAAATATTTCAGTAGAATTTAACAAATGAAAAATTCTTCAGATTTTATTTTATTGCTCTTTCTGCTGTTAGGGCCTGAAGAAAAACCATAATTCATCTTAAAAAGAAAAATAAAGGTTATTTCGCGGTGAGACACTACAAAGTTTGAAGCAATCTTTCAGTAGGAGAGGTTGGGAAGAACCTGCCTCTGTATGAACATACCACCTTAGTGCCTGAGTGACCTTCTGAGCAGCAAAATCTCATGATAGGCAATGGCAGTACACTGTGTTTGAGACAATGATGAAAAAATGCAAGCATTGACTTCAAAAGGGTTACAAAACCTACCTTTCACTGGAAAGATCTTTCTCTCCAAGAGTGTTCAGTGAAAGTTATTGTTGTTTACATCCCTGAAGCAAGTCTTTTTGCATTTAAACCATAATCATAGTTCTAGTGTGAGACATTCTTGTATAGGAAGTTGGTCTGTGAATGGCCTCATTGCAAGCCCTGGACAAACCAAATATTAGATCATGTTAATTGATGCATGCATTTCTTGATTCCAACCTCAGTTCTTGTGGTCACTAGTTTACCAAAAAAACCCAGAAAAGTAGAGACCAAATTGACAGCAGAAAGTTGTCCAGCAATGTCACAGAAGTTTTATGAGCTCATGTCCTGTCTGAATTTAGTTTGGGATTAAACCAAGGCTGGAGAATCTGGAATTTATTCCTCTAAAAAAACATCTATCAGTCCTCTCACTGTTTCTCAGTCTATACTGCAGCTCATTAGCTAAAGAGCTAGCTGTCTATCAGGGTGTGATGTACAATGCACAGAGGATATGGAAAATATGCACATCTCCATGAGTCTTTTCCACATTGCACTGTGACTAGAAGTTCCTCACAGCCTGCAGACATTAGAAATCTTAGAGATCATTTGTGAATTTCTATTGCCTTGAGGGGCATTTACAAAGATGCTAGCACCTTCATTTTGGGCACTAAGCATTTGCCTGCATTGACATAGTAAATAGCTAACAGGAAATGTTTAACCTTCTAAGAATGGGGTTCAGAGTGGCATAGGGCACCATTATTTGCCATATTGTGGTGTTATTTAATGGTACAGCTGTAGTTTTTATAGTGCATTTCTCTACAAATGAACACTGAGGGTATATCTAGTGACATCTTGGGGAGATTTTTGACCTTACAAGACAAAAAAAAGGCTGTGAAAGCTTCAGTCAGTCAACAGAAGACCTTAGAAAAACCTATAGAAAAGCTACAAACCTTGTGAAACCCAAGGAATTCAGAAATTCCTTGGATTTCACAAGTGCATATGTGAGAATGTGAGGGTTTGGAATCAGGATGGGGAAGGATAGTCACATGTTTAGCAAATACAAAACAATGCAAATTCATGCTACATGAGAAGACAGGGAGAAGGAAAGTTCCCAGAACCTCTTAACGATTCAGCGGTTCTGCTGCAATTGATTAGTGCTGCTTTTGTGTAAGACAAAAGAAAAGGAGGAGCTGAAAATGAGCCTCTCCTTCCACTTAAATATGGGAAATAATTGGGTTTTTTTCCAGGAGAATAATCAAATGAATCCCTGATCTATAAACCCCTCCTGACTGAACAGCAGGAGGCAAATTTCTGGCCTCACCACACTGTTACACCTTTGACCAAAGAGCTGAGGCTATTTCTACTACATCAATCAAGGCAGCAATGCACTTCACTTGTTTTTGCTTTTTCTCCCTCCAGCCGAAGGGATTTCGACGGTACTACAGCTCACCACTACTCATTCATGAACAGTTTGGCTGCATCAAAGAAGTGATGCCTATTGGTAGGTTTTGATTGCTTTTCTGTTCGGTCTCCCTTTGGCAGTGCTCTGCAGCAGCAGCGGCAGACTTCCAGACATGGTATTTACCCTCAGCAGCCTTCCAGCTCCTTTCAGTGACTGGATGTCCTTCTGCCATCTCAGGAAAGGACCACTTCAGAGATACAAAGCTGGAAGAGGAGAGGGTGTGTTTATTGTGTGTTTCACTCAAAAACCCCATATACATACCTCTTAGCAATTACCTTGTTTCAGTAATAACTACGTGAGAAGTTAAGTTTATTCTGGAAAATATTTCTCCCTACCGGTATTCTAACCAGGCAAACCTGACAGTGCAAAAAATTAAAGCTGGAACTAGGCAGTCAGTTTAAAATTGCTTGTCTGAGGATATTTGCATTGCTGTTTTCAGCAATTAAAAAAAATAATGAATGACATGGATTTCGTCTAAGTTTCTCTTTCCAAAATATGTCCATCGTTTTTGTCAGATGTAATAGAAATATTTTGAACAAATGCTGGCTAAAAAATGAGGTGTGCTTTGCTCTCATCAAAATTCCTTGTATTTTCTCAGTACTTTGGCTAAAATTTCCCTTCTTTCACATAGTGCTACAAATGTACTGTGTTCTGTATGCCTAGGGAGGTTGAAGTCTAATAATGCAGTATGTAGACGAGTGTTAACTGAGTTTGCTTGTGCCCATTGAAGACATCTATTCCTCTGCCATGGGAGATGACTTTTGTGGCTGGCTATGAAAGAGGGTGGGAGTGAGAACTGAACAGACATACATCAGTGGGGTAGTGACTTTTCTGGCTACCCCTAGGCTGAGCTGAACAACCTGGAGCACATCCCCAACAATAGGTACATACTTATGCCTGCCTCCAGACCCCATAAAGCCCCACAATGGGGATGTCTGAACATTTCAGGGAAGGTCCAGGCCATCCTGTTTATCTGCAATAGCCAAGTAGAAGCACTGTTAGGGTAGATGGATAAAGGTGATGGCCCACCCATATGAAAAAGATGCTCAGGCACAATGCATTTTTTTCTTTCAAGCATCTACTATTGAGACCTATCCAAGAGGTCAGTGGTGGAAACAGGCATAGATTAAAACCCCCTGGTACTTTGTGAATAGAGAAGAAGCATGGCAGGTGAAGAGAGACAAGGCAATGGCTAAGAACTGAAGAGCCTGTATGAGTGGAGGATGATCTTTACGGGAGTAGAGAGGCAGCAGAAAATTGCAGGCAAAGGCTAATTCCATTAAGCTCATAAAAAACGTTTTATCAGGATAGTCTCACAACTTCTGATTAAGCATACACCCAAATATGTTGTCAGAGGTAGGTGTTTCTCCAAGTGAAGCAGGATATGACCAGAAATATCTTCAAGGTATTGATAGATGTTTTGCTCCCTCTGTTGCAGCCTGTGGAAATAAGGTTGACCCTGTGTATGAAACTCTCCGCTTTGGGACTTCTTTAGCCCAGAAAACCAAAAAGGGAAGTTCTGGAAGTGGGTCTGATTCTCCCAACAGAAACTCTGTAAGTATCCCATAACTTCCGTTTGTTTTCCAGAGGGGGCAACAGATATGCATTCACATGAGTTTATATCATAGTTCACAAAGCTTCTATTACAAACTGTAAAAAAAAATAAAATCTTACTCTCAACTTCCAAAGTGAAACCAGAAAACATGTTATTTTTGCAAATTCAGGTTTTAGGTATCTTTTAGATGACTCTTGAGAAAAGGAGAGAAATACTAGTTGAATTAATAATCTTTTATCAGCTTAGAAAAGGAAATATTATTCTTTTTATTTTGCATATCCATATAGATGTGTAGAATTAGGAGGGAGGCATCACTGATTTGAGCTTCCCTCTCCAATGCAAATTACCTCTCCAATATAGGCAGGTGTGCTCAGCTTGTTGTATCCAGACAGGGAGATTTTCACCTTCATGTTAATGTTTGTCATTCACTGTCTCCTATCATCAAAGTCACTTTCTTCAGGACCATGGAAGAAGAGCTGGAGAACAAGGACAAAGGAAACTATAGTTCTCTTAGCCCAGCCTTTGCTAAATCCATACTTACTTCAACAGTAACAATTACCAATTTCTTCCTCACAGAAATGGTTATATCAACAGCATTGGGACCCATGAGATCAGGAGCTTATTCATGGTGTTGAAAGAATGTTTCGTACCCACTCAGCCTCTCATAAACAGGCACTTAAGCCTATGTTTAAAGTTCTCTTTTTTCCCAAGATTTCCTCCTCAGTCCACCCCCTAAAAAAAAAAAAAAAAAAAAACAAGAAAGAAAGCAAATGAAAAAGAAAAATCACACCTGAATATACAGGAGTCTAAAGCTGATTGTCATGTCTGAAAATCAGACCTGCTTTATCTGACATTCTCTCCTGCACTCACCTCAGGATAAAAATCACCCAGCACAGAGACATGGTGAGACTTAGTTTCCAGGCCTCAAAGCAAATACTTACATGTTTAATTTCATGTTGTGCTAGTATCTGTATATATTTGGTATAACATTTCCTTGGCATTTAAATGTATGCTCACTCACATGGCTGAACTGTAACCTCAGGTGGTATAGATGGACTCTAAACAGATGTCAGTTCAGGTCAGATGGGAAAGAAGACAGAAAAATTTAAACAAGAACTAAGTGAAGTCTGCAAGGAATTTATTAAGAGTCATGTCCTCTATCCAGCCCTGTTTGAGCCTTAAAAGAAATTTGGTAATTTCCATTCTTTTAAAACCTGAAGTCACTCTACCACCTCTCGCATTATATTGCATATAATCACACGCATTGTGATTATAGTTCTTTCTTTCAGTTATTTAATTTACTTTGAAACAGAAGTTCTACAAATGTAATTATTGTTTTCTAAATCAATAAAGCATTATTTTGAATTATAAATGACAACTCAAGTGTAGAAATCACGAATGCTGTGTCAGCTTACCCAAGGGAGCTGAGCATAACTAGGTAGGGAGTGGGTGTAGAATGAGGAACATAAGTTCATTATGGGAATTTCTTCAGGATATTGAGGCTGAGAGAGAATATAACACATGAAGGCATACAGGAAATAGAAAACATTAGAGAATTGAATAAACAGACTTGTGAAACCATAACTTCTGCCAGTGCTAGTCTGTAGATTGAGACACAGATAAAAACCAGGGACAGACACAACCCTGAACCAAATGATGGGTCCATGGAGCTTTAAAACTGATCTGTAACCTGGCAGCAGGTGCTGACCAGAACAGGGATGTGACACAGAGCCCTTAGAAGTACATGTGTAGTTAATAATGCATAGGGACTAAGATCTTTCCCCTGTGATCTTTACTTCTGCGCTGCTCTGTTCCTCTGAAAGCAGAAACAGTAATGCAGCTATGAGGCTCACAGCAGCACAGGGGCTTTGTGGCTGTGTTGTGTCCCAGCACTGGGAGCTGGAGAGTGCTTCAATGTTCTGCCATGTCACCAAACTAGAGCCACCAGGGACACAATGACACCTGGGATCCTACTTCACCTCACAAGTATCAAAGGCACTCTGGGTCAGCACAGCATAGCTGCTCCTTCTGAAGATAGTTAAAAACAAATGTGACTAGCCTAGGAGCTGTGCTTTGCCTCTACAGCCATGAAGCTTCTAGACTGCATGCAGTTCATGTCTCTGCACAGAGCAGAGATAACTGTCTTCCTTTGAACTAGCCAAGGTATTTTTAACATGACTGAGCAGTGTGGACATACCCACTGTGATTTTTCAGCCTGGATTCTGCATTTCCCATAAAGGAAAGTGGCCATATGCTCCAGATTTACTACCTACTGCTTGCTTCAAAACTGTGCTTCTGCAGCCCACATTTATACAGAAAGTCGCTTGAGGTGATGTAAATTTGATTCCAGTTCTTGTTAGTTTTTCATGGATCATCTCTCAAAAGCAGCTTTGTACCTCTATCATTTCTATTAGGCCATTTATCTTATTGTTCCTGACTGAAAAATTGTTAAAGGTAACTGAGGTTACTTCAGGAAGTTCTGGATGAGGTATATACTGAAGAGACAGTCACTACACATCCCATATACAGTAGTAGCCAACAAAATATGAAGCTAATCAGCAGCTATGAAGCTAGTCCATGAAGACTGAGGAACATGTAGGAATGAGCTGAAAAGTAGCTGGGACTTCCCATTTCAACAGTCTTTCCTTTTTCCACCCAACAGCTAGAAATCCCTAGATATGCTCTACACTGACTCCATGTTAACATTGCTATTGCAGTGCCTTCTCAACCTGGAGTGTCCTGTTTGGGCAAGATGCAAGACAAGCATGACCTACTGCAAAAGGCTAAGTCTAAGAACAAGGAGTAACAGAGCAGTGAAATGAAGGCTCTTAAAACAGTAAGGGAAACAAGATAGCCACAAGACACCGGTGGCACTAATCTACTTTTAACCTCTTTGTTAATTTCCTTGGATGGAGAAGTAGCTAGGAAGTTACCAGATAGGAGAAATAAAATTGTGAAAGGACTTTCTAAAAACAGCTTTGTTGTCAACACTATTAAAAGGAAAAAAAAACCCATACAAAATCCGTAAAGCAATTCAGATTTTGTGCTCCCTGAACAAAAGCAGTGAATGTTGCTCATTTTGCTTTTCTCCCTATAGTGCAGGCAAAGGCCTGCAAAGCAATAGAGTGAGCTGTGTGTACAGTACAATTGTAGTGTCATAGAATCATGAAGTTAAATCCTTCATGTGTCTTAGAGTACTGTTAGCAACAAATAAATAAAGCTTAGGAGTGTATGAGGATTTATAGTTGCTCACATTAGAGTGAGCACCTGACTCAAGTTCAGAGGCAGTTACTCAGATTAGAGTGAGCACCTGACTCAAGTTCAATGTATGGGGTTTTATGGTTGTCAAAGATGTGGTAAGTTCATAAACTCAAATTTTGTTAAGGTCAGAATTGGACAGAGTTGTTTGGAGCAGCTCCAGGTTCCTGTTGGACTATACATGAAGAGGCTGACTACCCGACGAAGGAATCTGGTGCCTTTTGCAGCAGTTACTCAGATTAGAGTGAGCACCTGACTCAAGTTCAATGTATGGGGTTTTATGGTTGTCAAAGATGTGGTAAGTTCATAAACTCAAATTTTGTTAAGGTCAGAATTGGACAGAGTTGTTTGGAGCAGCTCCAGGTTCCTGTTGGACTATACATGAAGAGGCTGACTACCCGACGAAGGAATCTGGTGCCTTTTGCAGAGTATACTTCTGAGGCTTAAGACTATGTCATCCCATATTTTTCTGCACCCTAGAACATTGAGTCCCAATCATGACTGACATTAATATGCTACAAATAAGAAATCATAGTAATTCTAGCAACAACATTTGGGGTTCATTTTTCCCTAACCATACCAGCCAGATGACTGTTTAAAAAGAAAGTGAGGGCAGATATTTAAAGACTGACTTCATCAAATCCATTGTACTTCAGCTCACTCTTTTACAGCATTCTAACAGAATTAGAAAGACCCTTGCACTACGGCTATTTTACTGAATAATGTATTCAGGGCTAATACATGAATAGTCAGTAGTTTTAACTAATGTCCAGTCTCATTGGTAGATAGCTATTGAGTATACCTGCAGAATCTGGAAACTCCCTCAAGCCCCTTCTATTCTGTACAGAGAACCACATTGCTTAATATAATCCTTTGTTCCTTAACTTTCACTTAATTTTATACTGCAGAAATCTTTTGTATTCCAGACTGCAAACTTGGTCTGGAGGGTTTTTTTTCTGTGATTTTACTGCTCCCTGTGAAGTAGGTATGTTTTGTGCATCACCAGATCCAATGTTTTCTGCAATTCTGTTAGACTGACTTGTTCTGTTCTCGTAGTGCACAAGTACTGCATTCCCCAAAGGCTCTTGCTGTGTGGTCTTATTTCACTTCATCACTCACTTTTTCTGGCTTATACCATCTCATTTTCTCTTTTTGTCCCTGCAGACAACTGACCTAGTAGAAGTTCCGGAGGAAGGAAATAGCTCTGCAGGCACCCTTGACATAAGCAGAAAACGCAGCAACAGCGGTGAGTGCTGCCAGGCCAGGTTAGCATCTTCAGGTGCATAGGCCTATGTACATTCTATTTCATACAGGGGTTTATGGCACGTCCATGTTTTAGCAGCATTCTGGGTTTTGAGTGGGAGGTGAGTGTGCCATGTAATTCGTGCAAGAATTTGGGGAATGCTTTTTGCCAACCAGATGAAATTCAAGCCACCAGTTTTCTTAATTTGGTGTGTCCAGAGCTGACACTGAACAAGGTTCAGGTCCATTCCCTATCATCATGAACATGTCTGTAGACTAACCACTTATCATGCTTCAGTTCCACATTGACAAAGTATAATGAAAATAATACTTTCTTTCTTTTCCATATGTTTGATTTGTCTGCATGACTTTGTATACCATAACCTCTTTCAGACGGGAAATGAATAATATAATTTTCATATATCTGTAAAATATCCAACACAATGAATTTTGATTATAATTGCAACTTCTCAGTACAACTGTAGTATGTGCCCAGTAATATTAATGGCCCAAATCATTTGTTTTATTTGCAGTACAAAAGTAATATTTTTACAGCATTGATATGATGAGATTTGAAGAGCATCATAGCAATCGAGAGCTTAGTGATGAAAACTCAGCCACTGAGGGCTGGTGTTTGTGACCCTGTTCTTGAATTCAGTCATAGTGAGGGAAGTCATAAACACAAAGAGCAGGTGATATCATCTACCTGG